CCGAATCAGCTATCATAAGGAGAATCATGAGGGTGATGATGACTAGTTTGGATTTGCTGACCGTGGGGAGGCTCATTTGACAGTGAGTGCTGGTCTGGTAGCTGTCCATAAGGAGAATCAGAAAGGCGCCGAGAGCTGGTTTGGATTCACTAACGATGCGGAGGCGCGTGTGTCGCGACAAGTGGTGTCGAGGCGCTGGCCACGAGGAGAATTGAGAGAGCGGTGGCGTCTGGTCTAGAATGTTCTGGTTGCTGGCCTCAAGGAGATTGGGAGGGCAGCAGTGGCTGAGAGAAATGATGGATCGAGAGTGAGGGGAATCTAAGATGGAGAGGATGGGTGGTGACTATCATCGATATGAGAGTCAGACACGAGTAGGATTTATGAGAGGAGGGTTTAGTCATTTAATAGGGTTGAGAGGATAAAAAACCAAGGAAAAAGGAGGTCATAGGGTGTCGAAGTCCCAACCTCATCAATCCAATTCCGCTGGAAAATGGGAGGAACTCGTCCTTCCATTTCATGAAATCCCATTTTCCTTGTTTCCGCCAGCTGCCATATATAATTGCCATTTGGTTTCCACGAATGAAAAAAAGGAAACATTGAACATGTTTTCTCCTTTTCCTTTCCAATTTTTGTTGTGGCAACAGGAAGTGAAATGAGAAGTGAACAATGCCTTAAAGTTTCTTCTATGAACCTCTAGTCAATCATATCATAAGTTTGGGCAAGATCAATTTTGACTAATAATGTTTTTTCGTTTCCACTCTTTTTCATCATAGACTCATAATATGCACCATGTCCTGCAAGATAAAAATGCTATCATTTATGTGCTTGTTGCGACAAACATTATACTGTAGCCAACATTATACAAGCTCATAATTCTAAATTGGGACATCGATGAGGGGGAATCAGTCTCATGGATAAGAGCGATGAGGGTTTTGTTCATCTTGCTGATGCACTGGGGGTCGATAAAGCTTAAATTAACAAAGATAATGAGGTATTTTCTCACATCCTCTCAGCTTTTTTGGAATAATGTTGTTTTTATTCGTCATTTCATGGTCTTAAGGCCATTCATGTTGTTGATGATCAATTTGATCTCATCCGAGCTTGGCAAGACTCCAACTTGGGGTACTATGTACTCATCAAGCATAGGGAATTCTGTAATAATAACTGGCCAGTGCTCCTTCTCTTCTTATTTGTACAATTTTAAAAATGAACCCTTGCAATAGTTTAAATATTTTTAGGGTTTGTATTGTTCCCCATGGATCCACCAGTTCACTCTTGATTTTTACATCCACAAGAACTCTTATTGCCCAAGAGTTTGCTCGAGCTCTTCCCTTGCTTGCGTTACATATGAGAGTTTTATTTAAGGGGTTCCTTTCATTGAATTTTTTTAACGGTATGTAGCCTGTTTAGCAGTCTCTTATTTCTCCTAAAAATGATCCCAAAAACTTGATTGTTCCACACTTGGAGTTTAGTAGCTAGATCATATAATGAAGGAAAGATCGATTCGGTTTTTACATGAAGCAGAAAGAAGAGGGAAAACGTTGTCATGAGTGAGACAAAGCCATGAACATGAAGCGTCTCACCAAATTCATGTATCTAGATTGGCTGCAATGCACGTCAAGATTGGACAGTAGTCTGACTTGAGCTTCTTCAGTTCAACAATTGATGATTCTGGGAATTGTTGATGTCATTCAAGATTACAATCCTGTAAGAGTTGGTGATCCACATAAACCAGGATCTAGTGAGCCCCAAATCTATGAGGCAACAATCCTAGATACATTCTTTGAACGTTTTGGGGCTCCTACTTGCTTATACGAGGACTTGGTGATTGAGTTACAGTCTTCAGTATAGAGTCGTGGAACCATGTTATGTCTTCCAATTCTTGTAATGGCTTGCCATAAACCGGCCCATTAATATTATTTTGGGCTGGTATAGATAGCAGAGAAGTGATATAATTCTTTGCCACCTCTGAGGCATTTGAAGTGGATGTATTGTTTGTGTTTGTCCAATACTTCCAACTTTGCTACGAGCTATCCCAAATGACCCATATGCCTCCACTAAAACCAATAGCTTCAGAGGTTTCCCATGAATCATATTCAAGTTTCTTGATCACATTAAGTGCAGCATCACCACTAATACTTGACTCCAAGATGCACACACTTTAGGCTCGTTATGTTCTTGTACATTTTAAAGGTAGATTGAAATTCGGGTTGCTTAGCTCCCTACAGTTATAGGAGAATCCTTTAATCATTATAAAAGATTACAAATATCTAGTGTCATATCACTTGGTCAAAATCACTCCATGTTTATGGTTATTGCCATCACATCTTCCTTCGTCTCACTACTGCCATTATTAGTTGCTTCGCATGTTCATGCTTTTTTGGATACTTTCCTTGACTAGAATCCCGCAATCACGCCCTCTAAGGAACCCTTTCTTTACCTTGCTTGGAGGAGGTTCTATGGGATTGGTTTGCTACCTCCTTGTTGTTTGCTTTGTCCACTGTATTGGAAGGTGATTCACCTTCATTCCTATAATTCTTATTCTCAATGGTTGATTTAATAAAGGCAGGAATGGAGTTCTTCTTCAGGCGAGTTTGTTTGCTCTTCTGGTTATTATTCTGGTGTGGCCTTTTGATGAACTTTCCTGTTATGGTCCTTTTGTTGTTGCTCTTTTCCTTGTGATTCTTTCTTCCCTCGACCTTTTAAGTCGTTTTCTTTTGTTTTGGTTTATTCTCCTTATGTGTTTCTCTGTGTTGGGAGTTTCAATAGAGGTCACTTTCTATAGTTAGGTGTTCTTTATTCCATGGATGGTATGTTGATCCTTGCCTTCATCTCCATCTTCTCCACTATATTGACCGCCTTCACTCTCCAGCACACTAAACGAGCCCCTCCATGCGAAAGGTGATGGGACTTCTTATTTCCTTTTGTCATCCTCATTCCTATTATATAGTTGTTTCCTTCGTTTGGTCCTAGTAGCATCCATCCATGGTCCGAAATCATCAATAACCTCTGGTATGATCGTCTAGCCATATGGATATCTTCCAGACTAGCAAGAGGTTTCCAAACTCTTTTTGTAGTGAGCAGGATTCTTTCATGTGGTTGTATTGTCCACACTTAGAGCAAACAATGTGGATTCCTTTGTACCCCACTCAGTAAACTCTTCTTATTAGTAGGTATTTGGATATCATCCTTTTCTTTAGATAAATTGGACACATATTCTAGCGTAGTTTCCTCTAAATCAATTAGATGTGTTGTAATCAATCTTTTCCACCCTTTCCAACTTGTTCTCTATGTCATTCAAAATTTACTCTTCAAAGTAGGCAAGAAGGAGTCTTGGCAATCTAACCCCGACTAAGTATTAGTGATGGAGTTGTAGTAAGGGTCGAAATCCAGTCGCTAATGCTCAGAGATGAGGTAATGATCCTCCATACAAAGCACGATCACATTCAATTTGTGAGTCAAAGACCGCCTGATAGTACCCATTGCCAATGTCTCTTATTTTGAAGCCTCCAGTCTTTGCTCACATTTTATGCACTCTTGTTTGTAAGAAAGCAAAGGGAAATTGCTTTCGAGGAACTTTAAAGGTAATCGCTCTATTCCAACGACCTTAGATTCTCACATTTTTATACTTTTTGACCGGGTGATCTTCTCCATCAGATTCATTCGACATCAGCTCATCGCTGTCTGGGATCAATGGGGGTGTATTGTTCCCAAGAAATTTTTTTTTATAAGAGGTCTTAGGAGGACTCATGTTCTTGGGGGGAGAATACCTCACCTTCTTTCTTTGGATTAGTTCTGGTCTCAACTCTGTCTTTGCCAATTCGCTCTTTAGTAACAGTGACTGAGATTTTCATATCTCCTTCATTGAAACAACTCTGTGGACAAATATTTAGAATTTTTGCTAGACCAGGCCGTTGATATAAATGGCGAGTCGTCCAACGATTTGTGGCAATGATCTTCCTCCGTTGCCAGAGGCTTTGAGCCAATGGTCTTTTTTTTTTTGGAAGTCATTGGAAATTCATTAAAAATGAACCCAGGAGATAATAGATTTTGGGCCGAAACCCCATGGAAAGAAACATACAACATTGACAGGCCCAAACATTCAACCCATACAAATAAAGCAGCAGCCCGAAAAACATGGTCTGAAAAAATCCTAACAACCAATAAAAAATCCAAAGGAGAGGCAGCCGCCACCAGGAGGACCGTAGCACACCCACAAGCACCCATCGGAAAAGAGGATAGCCACCAGAGGAGAAGGATCCCGATGACCAGAACCCGCCGGACAGCGAGAAACGTCAAGAAGAAACCTGCAAATCAAACTCGGAGGGCGACCACAGTCTGACAAACTGATGAGAGCACCAAGAAAAGACGATCGAAAGCCCAAGATGCATGATCTTCGCCTTCGAGCTCCATGCAGCTGAACCTGGTGGGAGAATCACAATAGGATTCCCAAGACATCTCCGAAACACCAAGCCGCAGCGGTGAAGCATGGAGGAGAGACAGAAGCATGAAGGAGAAGGCAGATTGAGGACACTCAACCCCCTCTGTCACCAACAAAACGTCTCAAGCATCAGATCTGGAAAGATCAGATGTGAGGAAGAAGAGAACACCTAACTTCTAAGAAGAGGCAAGAAAAAGCTCCAAAATGGAAGCACAAAGAAACAACAGAACAAGGAAGCAGGATAAAAGCAAGAAAAACTATGGGCTACCGCCGACTTGCCAGAGGCGCCGACGGCAGCCCTCAACCAAGCTGAGATCTGAAGTTTGAAAAGAAGAAAGAAGTGAGAGCTTTTAAGATTTTAGAAAGAGAAAAAGTGGAGCGAACCGTTCCGAGCCAATGGTCATTGCAAGAATCGAAGCAGGCACAAAAAGAGGCGAGACAAAAGAAAACCTAAAATACATATTATAAAGATTTATAGAATGAAGAGTGTATGAATGAAATACCAATTATAAAACCTAGCATATAGAAACGTTTTCATTTCATCGCAACTCTCATGTCTCAACCGACTTTGGCAAGAGCAAATGATTAAAAGGGGGAAACAGAAAAACGTTGGGGCTTTCGGTTTTATTATGTTTAAGCTGTAATTTTGGCCTTCTTTCCGGCCCATTTCTCTGTCTCGCACTCTTTCTCTCAGCTTCTTTTGTCGGTACTTTATTCACATTGAGCCACCACCAGTCCACCACCACTCACTCACTACACTCTCCCAAGTCCCATCCCATCCCTCACCCTTCAGTCCTTCACTCTTAACTCTCGCTCACTCTTCCGCAATTACTCTGCTTGCTTCATCCTCTCCCATTTCCCCACGAGCCACTTACATTTCGCCGCAGCCGACGGAGGAAGAACCAGAGGCCACCCCACCTAAGAACAATGAATTACATTTCCAGTCTCACCCTCAGCTTCCTCCTCCTGCTTCTCACTCCTCAAGGTAACCCTAAAAAATCCAAGTCCAGAACTTGGAGGCGTATCTTCTTCACTTTTTCCTTTATTGGCGTTTTATTTTCCTGTCGAAAAATCAGGGACTCAAGTTTTCTTATTTGACATTCTGGGTTTTCAGGCGCACTTGGGGCCACATTCACGTTCTCGAACAGATGCGATTACACGATTTGGCCGGGGATTCTGGCCAATGCCGGCAGTCCGAAGCTCGAAAGCACCGGATTCGAGCTCGCGGAAGGCTCAACCCGCTCCTTCCAAGCTCCCACGGGTTGGTCGGGGCGGTTCTGGGCACGAACCGGCTGCACATTCGACGACTCTGGCTCCGGGTCCTGCCGCACCGGCGACTGCGGGTCGGGTCTCGTCGAGTGCAACGGTCTCGGTGCCGCCCCACCGGCCACACTAGCCGAGTTCACCCTTGGAACCGGGGGGCAGGACTTTTACGACGTCAGCCTCGTCGACGGCTACAACCTCCCGATGGTGGTTGAAGGCAGCGGCGGGTCGGGTTCGTGCACTACCACCGGTTGCATCACGGATCTGAACCAACAGTGCCCCGCGGAGCTCAAAGCCGTTGAAGGCAGCGCGTGCAGGAGCGCGTGCGAGGCGTTCGGCAGCCCGGAGTACTGCTGCAGCGGCGCGTTCAACACCCCCGCCACGTGCCGGCCGTCGGTCTACTCCGAGATGTTCAAGGCCGCTTGCCCCAGGTCTTATAGCTATGCCTACGACGACGCCAGCAGCACCTTCACTTGCACCGGAGCTGATTATACGGTCACGTTCTGCCCAGCGTCACCAAGGTAAAGCAAAAACTTGAATAAATCAAAGGGATAGCTCCAAGCTAACAAGGCCAAGGAGTTCCTTTCCTCTCTGATTTGCTTAATTTGTTTATTTATATTTCTAGGTTTCGCTATTTTTTTTAGATTGAGTTGTTGGATTGGGGTCTAATTCCATTTTGCCGGGAAATTTTTAGCTGTTTGGTTGCAATGCCAAGGGGCTCCTTTCGTCTCCATTTTTGCTTCGTTTGTAAATTTCACTTACTGGGTTTTGTTAATCTGTTAATTTGGGTTATTGGGTCGGGTTTAATTTCATTATATCCTTTGCAGTCAGAAGTCGGCATCCTACTCTTCAACGACACCAGTGAATGACGGCCAAACGACGGGACAAGAAGCAGGGACAGGAACCGAGGTTTCAGGGTCGGACGGAGGAGGATCCGGGGTGGAGTATTCGGGTACCGGGTCGGACATAGGTTCGGGCATCGGAGCAGGGTCAGGTGGAGTTGGAGGTGGAGGAGGAACCGGGCAAGGAGGGCAAGCCATGTTGGCAGATGGGTCGTGGCTAGCTGGTTTAGCCATGGGAGGATCACACAGAACGGCAGCTTCTTCCTCATTCTGTGGAGCTTCAATGGCGGTGGTGGTTTCTTCTTTGCTGTTGGTGGTTTCTCCCTTTGTTAAGTACTTGTAGTTGTGTTTTGGAGAAAAGAAAGGGACTTTGGTGATGGGTTTTGTTTGTTTAATGGTGGGTGGGGATTCATTTCTTTTGTCTAGGGTTTTTGCAAGCAGCCTTTGGTTTTGGGGGAGAGGGGAGGGAGGTAGTAGTGGAGGATTTTTGCCCCTTTGTTAGGTAAAGCTGACAGATTCCTTCATTCTCTCCCCAATAGCACGGCGCACCCACTCCCAAGTTTCTCTCTCTCTTTTTCTTTCTGCAGATTTCAACGTTTTAGGAGTTTGTAAGCCTGTAACATATCTCAAGAACAATAAGTGGTGGGTTGTTTTTAGTGTGCAGTTGATAGGGATTAGTGCATTGTATTAGCAATTGTCATGTCGTTCAAACCCGTCGTAATCATCTTGGTCTAGCTATATCAATGTTATAACGACAACTCTGATCGATTCGATTTTGGATGTCTCGAATTTTTGGTTGGTCGCTTTCGATTTCTTATTGTGGTATGAGATTAGATGATGGTTCAATGGGGATGATTAGGGTGGGAGAGATGGGTGGGACCAAAAAGGAAGGTGGAATGTGAACGGAAGCAGTTGGATTGTAGGGCTTGCAGAGGATTTGTGTAAGGCTTATTTTACTTTGCGGGGGCTACAAGCATTTAATTGGTGGGTTTGGCATCAAATTGCGTCATCTGAGCACGTTTGATTTTTGTATTTTCATAGGCTTAATTGCAAGTTTGGTCACTCGAATTGCTATAAAATTTCACGTTTGCCACTCAAATTAATTTATTCCATTTATAGTCACTTAAATTAGTTTAACAGTTCAAGTTTGGTCACTGGCCGTTAGTCTCCGTTAACTTTTGCTGATGTGGCGGTCAACTCTAATAGTTGACCGTTAAATAAGTGACGTGGCAATTAAAAAATTAATAAAAAATAAAATTTAAATTTTTCTTATTTCCAACTCATTTTACACCGGATCAATTTTTTTTCCCTTCCCTTCCTTTCCCTTTCCTCTTCCCTTCCCTTCCCTTCCCATCTCCACCGCCACCAATGACTTCTCGGCCCCGTTCGCCACAAACGAGTTCCCAATGTGCCTCCCCAGAACCACCGTGTCCTCGAGCGCGCAGCACCCGCCTTGCCCGAGATAGCAGGCCTGTTGCCGGCTCTGGCGATGAAGCTAGTTGGGATGCGAGCTCTGGTTATTGAGAAGGCAGAGTGCCTCAAAACCACCGGATCCGCCTTGAAACTCTTCCCCAACGCCCAGATTGCTCTCGAGGCCTTGGGAGTATCCCACAAGCACACTCCATTGTACCCTCCTCTAACAACCGGCTCCATCACCGATGTAGCCACCGGCGCAGTCCGGCAAATCTCTCTCACCGGAGCTTTCTCGTAAGAGACCTTTTGTTCGTTCCCCCTAGATGTCTATCAAATCCTATGTTCCTCCAAATCCTCGCAGCCAGCCAACTAATGACCTTCTTAATTTCTATGGTAATTGCAGGTTCTGATAGGGTGCGACGGATTGCATTCAGTTGTTGCAAAATGGCTAGGACTAATTTGTTGTGGTTTCGGACAGTGCCCAACCCGAAGTCCATCGTCTTCAATCCCTCAGGTAACTGGATCCGGCAGCACCCTTTGTCGGAGCAGATCGAGGAATTCGAAGCAGTCGAGATCCGCCGGGAGGCGTCGGCAGCGGAATTGTTCCTTGTTCGGAATCCTTTTTCGAATCGGTATCTTTTCATCTCGATCCATTTCCCGTCCCCATCAAAACCCCTTCTACCCCCAGATACTTCAGAAGCTCGCTATAGTCGCCCTCTCTCCTTGCAAACCCTCAATAGTCAATTCCACCGCCGCCCTCATCATCCTCGTCGAGTCCCATCAAACCGAACTCGCCCTCGTCGACTGTCGGTGAAATCTGCATCAAACCATCAGGCCCCTTTGTGGAAGAGGAATCGATTGGACAAGACTAACCTCGAGGAGCTGGACTTCACCGCCGACAAAGTCTATCCCCGGTCACGCAGCAGGAACGCCTGAAGTTGGGTCGGAGAGAAGAAGTCTCCTCCTGGGAATCGTAGCAGCCGCCGACGAATTTCGCGGCCGACGTATGACCGTCTTCCTTCCCTAGTTTATTTTTTCTATTTTATTTTATTGTAATTTATAGATATGAGGTGGAAATTAAAAAAAATAAATTTTTTATTTTTTTATTTTGTAGTTGACACGTCAGTTATTTAACGGTCAACTCTCAAAGTTGACCGCCACATCAGCAAAAGTTAACGGAGACTAACGGCCAGTGACCAAACTTGAACTGTTAAACTAATTTAAGTGACTATAAATGGAATAAATTAATTTGAGTGGCAAACGTGAAATTTTGTAGCAATTCGAGTGACCAAACTTGCAATTAAGCCTATTTTCATATTTGGATTAGGGAAAGTGGGAGATGTCTAATGATGTAATGTTGAAAAATGTCTGGAGATGTTGAAAGAAAGCGACACCGGAATCATTAGATTTGGGGCCAGAATTTCCACCCTAGAATCCCTATCTGATCTTCAATGTTTTGTTGGAATGGAGAGTGGTCACTAAAGTCAATTAGTAGCATCTTTCTGTCTTATGAGCTTAATACTTTTAACAAAACGAATAAGTACTTCAAAATGCACTACAAAAATAGATTCCCATTAGGTTAAAAAGAGATTTATGGCATGGAATTAGAGTTTGCAATTGATTTTTCATAGCATTAATTGTTCATATTATCGAGATTTTGTACTCAATTTTCGAAGAAAATATTTACTGGTATGCAAGGTTGTCAAACCGGTTTATGCCAGTGTGCCGGTTTAGCAAGTGGAATGGTTCAACCGGTGGTACATACCGGTTTGTGCCGGTTCATGCCGGTTAATATTGTAAATAATTTATAAATTCTCATATTTAAACACAACATTTAACGTCAATACCTAAATATTTGTACTTGAATCCAACAAATAACATCAACATTTAACTTTTAACACATAAAATAAATAATAAATTACTTTTTATCAATTAAATTCACTAAGATAAGATAATTTTATTTGGAGATTCGTATACCGATCATGCCGGTCATACCGGTGGTGTCATGCCGGTTTTATAACCGGTACAGGTTGAACCAGGTTCAACCAGTGGCACGCCGGCCGGCGTGACAACCATGCTGGTATGAGACGACTTAATTAAGTTTAGGTAATAGTGTTGCGAGGCAGGAGGAGGCAGAGAGTCAATTTTTGAACAACAAGATCGAATAATTGGATGACTTCTTTGCATGCGGATGAGATGTGATTAGTTTTGTTTTTGTGAAGGTAAATAAGATAACAACACAAATTGTATGGAAAACATAAAAAAAAGGGTAAATTGTAAGTTTGGTCACTGGAATTACTATAAAAATTCATGTTTGCCACTATAATTAATTTATTACATTCATGGTCACTAAGATTAGTTCATCGGTTCAAGTTTGGTCACTCTCCGTTAGTCTCCGTTAAATTTCTCTGATGTGGCAGTCAACTCTAATAGCTGACCGTTAGATATATGACATGGCAATTAAAAATTATAAATAAATAAAATTTAAAATTTCTGCAATTTCCACCTAATTTTGAAAACTATTAAAACTTAATTTTCTAATCCCCCACCTCCACCTATTCATCGGTTGCGGCCCCACTTCCACCGGTTCCACTCAATCTCCTCGCGTTGAACATCGACGAGTCCTCCATCGAATCCCCGCGGTTCCTCCTGCTCTCGCCGCCGCCGCAGTTGAGCTAATACAACGTCATCTGAGTGGAAAAGCTTACTCGGAGCGAGAGAGAGAGAGAGAGCACAGAAGGAGAGAGAGAAACAGAGAATTTTCGAGAGAGAAGCGAGAATCCCCTCTCTCTTCTCCTCCCGACGGCGGCTCCCGATCTCTCGCCGTCCTACCCGACCTTCCTCAGTGAGAAGCCCCTGCCCATTCCCCTTCCCCAATGCCGCAAACCCTGATTTCATTAATCCCAGTCCCAGCCCCTCCCTGCACCTGCAACCAACAATTGAAACAAAGAACACCCGGGCCTGTCACAGAGCAAACAGAAGCGGCAGATGTGAGCAACAGCTTCAACCGACGGCGAATTCAGGAGTGCGGTTCACAAAGGAAGTTGATGCTCAGGATAGAATTAGGTTTAGCCAATTAGGGATGGATTCGATTGAAGGGGGAAATATAGAAAAATGGAATTGGGTTTAGCCGATTAGAGCATGAAAACCTCGTCGTATTCAGGGACGACAGAGGTTGGTCTACTCAAGAGAGTCCCAGCGGCCAGGCTGCGAAGCTGTAAACTGGTAATATCCGAGAAGAAACCGGCAACGGTGGTGATCGATTTCCGTTGAAGTGCTTGAGAATCGGCAAGGACGCGCTCGCATCGGGGGATCCGAGTTTACCCATTGACGATCTCAAAGCTAAGACGATGGAGTCAGGGGATTGATGAGTGCGGCGTAGGATTTTAGGATTTTACAGAGAAGGATTTGGCATTCACTTTTAGTTTCCATTGCAGCTACAGGTGGGTCGAGGGAAGGATATATAATTTAATTATAATTACTTTATATGTTTTATTTGTTTCAATTGATTTGTAATGAGGTGTAAGTTATAAGAGATTAAATTTTATTTTTTTTATAATTTTTTAATTGCCACGTCACACATTTAACGGTCAACTATTAGAGTTGACTGCCACATCAGAAAAATTTAACGGAGATTAACGAAGAGTGACTAAACTTGAATTGTTGAACTAATCTTAGTGACCATGAATGAAATAAATTAATTTTAGTGGCAAACATGAAACTTTTTAGTAATTCCAGTGACTAAACTTGCAATTTACCCCATAAAAAAACATGGGTTTGCTTTATTTCACTGGGGTGTTTAAATAGTAATTTACAACCACTAACAGTCCAAGCATCGACATGGGATGTTGGAGTTCCAGTAAGATAAAGGTGCGAGGAGCAGAGTCTGAAATTGAAAGTATTGTGTCTAGCTCCTTTCGGTGATACTCTTTCCACAAACAATGTCGCTCAAACTAATAACTAACAGGCAAGGATTTCAAATCCACTCTCTACCCAGCTCGACCGTTGAAGCAGAGCGCGAGATGGAAGAAGAAGATGATGATTCGAATTGAAACTCAGCGTTTTACCAAAGTTGTCAAAGTTGTGTCATTTTTACTATTTTCGCAGGCATCAGTTACTTTACTTTCAAGTATGTTGTTGTTTCCTTTTGAAGCAAACAAACAACACACAAGCTGGAGGTTCTTGTCTCCTTCTGAACTGAGATTGTATAACAGAACACAAGAGATCAATGAGAAGCTTTAAGCCTTAGGGTTTCAATTGTTGTTATGGTATCAGAGCCCTTGACCGAGCTTTGCTACCGCCGCCGCCATGGATGGAAATGCTTAAAATGCTGAGCAGGCACAACCACAACCTCATAATCAACAACATCAAT